CACACACACACACACACACACACACACACACACACACACACACACACACACACACACACACACACCCTTTCTTTCTCCCACCTCCTTGTCTGTGTGACTGAGTCCCAGCCCCTGAAGGTGTCATAACTGTGCTCTCTCTCCTGCTCTCACTCCCTCTCCATCACARCCTCTTAGATCTTTAAAAGCCGGGGCTTTGCCGTGTCTCCTTCAGTCTCCGCTCCTGTTCTCTGGCACTGCAGGGGGAGTCGGCCGGCAGAGCATCACAGAAAAACCACGTTTTCAGGAGCCAGGARAGGACGAAGAGGGGACAGCTGCGGCCACATTTAGATTTAACTGACAGGGAGAAACCCTGACAATGTCTCTGCTCTCTCACCTAATGGCCRTTGTGCTCTTACTGATCGGCCCCTGCGGACCGGGGGCTGGAGCCAACCGCTGGGGTCACCTCAAGGTCTGTGCCTCCTGCAAGGACCCTCTGGGGGCAGGTCGGCCCCCGAGGGACCACACCGTCGCCGGCAGCATGGCAGTTCTGGCCCAAGGGGAGCCGTGCGGCGTGTACACCCTGAGTTGTGCCAAGGGGCTTCGCTGCGTCCCCCCACCTAGGGAGCACAGCCCCCTGCAGGCACTGTTGCAGGGAAGAGGCACTTGTGCCAAACACAGCAGRACGAGTCCCACCGAGAGGCCCCACCCTACAGGTAAGACGGACTGCAAGAAGTGGAAGGAGAGAAAAAGCACAGTGAGGCTGTGGCYGAGATGAGAAAGCTAATTTCACTGTGCTTTTATTGTAGCAAAAAGTGAAATTATTTGTTGCATTGACTGTTGTCTAGTGTTTGTGTTGTTCTGTTCCCATCACGGTGTTTCGTTTTCCCTTAGGTCCACATCCCACCCACTTCGGTGAATCTGAAAAAGTAAGTTTTCATTTTATGTCTCTAACAAATGAAGCGATAAAAGCAAGAGAAAGCAGGCTGCGTGAAGCCTGTTGGTACCTGCCGCTGCATCGCGTTTCAGCCAGCTCTCAGTGTTGCAGCAGCGTGTGCACACACTGCTGCTCAGCCGTACGTTTGCTGCATGCCGCATGCTGCTATGCGGCATAACTACCCGAGCGTGGTGTGAGTCAGGAAAGTTTTGCTGCTGCGGTTAGAGAGCCTTGATTAGAAAACTGGTGTTTGAAGTAATATGAAATAATCTTTTGAGCACAAAGTGATCAAAATTCAAGGTGAAGCTTGTGTTGATGTTTATACTGATTCTAAATGTAATATTTGACATACACGTTATTTAAAGACTAGCAATTCTTCACCCATCACCTCTCATGCCAGAGTTTTGATGATCTTATGATGGAAAAATGACAAACCTTAAAATATGTATAAAATGCACTATCTCTTGATGTTATGATGTGTCAGAGCTCAGAGGAAGACTCGGAAGTGACTCAGATTTCCATTTAATTTCAGTAAACCAATTGCCTTTTTAGTGTTGGCTAATGTTGGTTAGTTGCAGTTGTCGTCTTCATTTGGACTGACTCAAAAAGGTATTCAAGTAATTACTTCTTGACAATCTGTGCAGTTGTTAATAGGATGTTTTAACAAACTAACACCAACAGTTAAAGTTAAAGTTTGAAGCAAAGATATGGCACTCAAATGACATGTTTGGGAAGACTCTCATCTACAACCACAAAAAGTTGTTATAACCAATATTGTGATATCTAGGCTGATATAAGGATCAGAAATGTTAACTTTGCTTTGGCACCTATATTGATTTGTTTCCAAATGTTATTCAGTTGTAGATAATCATCCAGGAACTACTTCTACAAACATATTTGATTGATTGACTGATTGATTGATTGATTGATTGATTGGTTGGTTGGTTGATTGATTGGTTGATTAGCTGATTGATTAGTTGATTGATTGATTGATTTATTGGTTGGTTGGTTGGTTAGCTGATTGATTGATTGGTTGGTTTATTGATTTATTGATTAGATGATTGATTAGTTGGTTGGTTAGCTGATTGATTGATTGATTGGTTGGTTTATTGATTTATTGGTTGGTTGATTAGATGATTGATTAGTTGGTTGGTTAGTTGGTTCATTGATTGGTTGGCTGATTGATTGATTGATTGATTGATTGATTGATTGATTGATTGATTGATTGATTGATTGATCGATGGGCTGGTTGACTGACTGACTAACTTTGATTGAATGGTTGATTGGCTGATTGATGTTTGTTTACTGATTCGTTGGTTGGTTGGTTTGTTAGTTGGTTGGTTGGTTGGTTGCTTTGTTGGTTGCTTTGTTGGTTGGTTGATTGATTGATTGTTAAGTTGGTGGATTGATCGGTTGATTAATAAGTTGGTTGGGGAAAATGCACACATAGACAACTCTCCCAGTGTCAATGAGTAATAAAGATTTCGTTTAGCAGTTTTAGACAAGTTCCACAAAGCATATAATTGAGATAATTATTTAATTTTGTAAAGAGATTCACAACACATTTTGCTAACAGATAGACCAAATCCGTCAGTCCGTCCGTTTTCTGCCGCTTATCTGGGGTCGGGTCGCGGGGACTGCAGCCTAAGCAGAGAGACCCASACTTCCCTCTCCCCAGCCACTTGGGCCAGCTCAACCGGGGGAATCCCAAGGCATTCCCAGGCCAGCCGAGAAACATRGTCCCTCCAGCGTGTCCTGGGTCTTCTTCTGCGTCTCTTCCCAGAGGGACATGTCCGGAACACCTCACCTCCTCTTGATGTGGAGGAGCAGTGGCTCCACTCTGAGTCCCTCCCGGATGACTGAGCTTCTCACCCTTTCTCTAAGGGAGAGCCCAGACACCCTGTGAAGGAAATTCATTTCGGCGGCTTGTATCCGCGATCTCGTTCTGTCAGTCGCTACCCAAAGTTCGTAACCATAGATGAGGGTAGGAACATAGACCGACTGGTAAATCGAGAGCTTCGTCTTCTGGCTTAGCTCTCGCTTCACCACGACAGACCAGTACAGCACCAATTCGCCTGTCGATCTCCCACTCCATTCTTCCCTCATTCATGAACAAGACCCCGAGATACTTAAACTTCTGCRCTTGGGGCAGGATCTCCTCCCCAACCCGGAGAAGACACCCCACCATTTTCCTGCTCAAGACCATGGTCTCAGATTTGGAGGCACTGATCCTCATTCCGACCGCTTCACACTCGAATGTGAACCTCTCCAGTTGGAGCTGGAGATCGCGATCTGATGAAGCTAACAGGACCACATCATCCGCAAAAAGCAGAGATGTGATCCTAAGGTCACCAAAAAGGATCCCCTCAACACCTTAGCTGCACCTAGAAATTCTGTCCATAAAAGTTATGAACAGAATTGGTGACGAAGGGCAACCTTGGCAGAGTCCAACTCTCACTGGAAACGAGTCAGACTTACTATCGGCAATGCGGACCAAGCTTTGGCACCGGTTGTGCAGGGACCTAATAGCCCAAATCAATGGGCCTGGTACCCCATACTCCCCCGGAGTACCCCCGACAGGGATCCCCGAGGGACACGGTCGAATGCCTTCTCCAAGTCCACAAAACACATGTAGACTGGTTGGGTTTCGTCTTGGTCGTGCTCTTCCTGAATCCGAGATTCGACTATCTGACGGACCCTCCTCTCCAGGACACCTGAATAGACCTTACCAGGGAGGCTCAGAAGTGTGATCCCCCTATAGTTGGAACACACTCTGCGGTCCCCCTTTTTAAATAGGGGGACCAACACCCCAGTCTGCCAATCCAGGGGAACTACCCCCAATGTCCACACGATATTGTAGAGTYGTGTCAACCAATGTAACCCCACACCATCCAGAGCCTTAAGGAACTCCGGGCGAATCTCATCCACCCCAGCGCCTTGCCACCGAGGAGCTTTTTAACCACCTCAGTGGCCTCGGCACCAGAGATTGGAGAGTCCGACCCAGGGTCCTCAGGTTCTGCTTCCTCATGGGAAGACGTGTCCGTAGGATTGAGGAGGTCTTCGAAGTACAGTATTCCGCCCACCGACCCACAACGTCCCGAGTTGAGGTCAGCAGTGCACCATCCCCACCATAAATAGTGTTGGTGGCAAACTGCTTTCACCCACTGAGACGCCGGATGGTGGACCAGAATTGCCTCGAAGAAGTTAGACCAAGTTTACTTGCAAATTTTTAAACAGAGATCTTGCACCATCTGGTGGTCTGCAGACTATGTATTGGGATCAGATACTACCACACCAAATTTTACCACAATGCTTTTTTAAAATTGGTTGAATTTAAGTCATTCTTGTGTTTTTACAGTCACTTGGCTGTAGCAATCATCTTGAAAAGTGCTGTCTAAAAGGCAATCAGTTGTAGATGTAAATCCAAATGTGTATATAAATCTCATTAAATTCTGTCCATTGGTTAAAGATGTATTTTGGTAAAACATACAAGCAGGAACATAGTTGTCTGCTTTTGCCTTTTAGCTGCAGGCAATAAATATTCTGTGCTGCTTACAGTGGCTGTAGCTCTTTTCTGCTGATGTGGTCACCTGACAGGAGACAGCAGCATGTCACTTTGCTCCTGGTGTCTGACATGTCCCTCTGCACCACAGGCTCCCTGCCGCAAGCTGCTCAACAGCGTCCTGAGGGGTCTGGAGCTGACCGTCTTTCAGTCAGACCGAGACATCTACATACCTAACTGTGACACGAGTGGCTTCTACAGGAAAAAACAGGTAAAGCTTTCACCTAAGAACCACCTGAGAAAAACAAAACAGAAGCTTTTTAACTGTCTGAGCTCAGCTCTACTGACAGGGCCTCAAAAAAACAGTCCTACACAATCAGAAAATCAGAAAAGAAATGTTTATCAGACACAGATAACCTGAGTAAATACAAAAGGAAGTTTTTAAATTATGATTTCATTCATTTAAGGGAAGGTATTATGCAAAACAACCTTTTTAAAGCATTATATCATGTCATAATGTCATTCCCTCATCAAGTGTTGCTTTCACTCATGCATGTTTGAGAAAGCCTTGAAGGTTCACGATTACGATTATTTTTGATTGTTTCTTTTTCAACAAAATGAATTGTAGCCATTTGTCACCAGATGTTATAACTTGACGGCCTTGATGGCCATTTYGCGCAGACACTTGTCTCATTTCAACGTGTTTTTTCCTTTAATAAATATTTCCACGACAATAACCAAACATGTTTATTTCTTTTAAGCATCAGCATTTTTGTCCTTGTATCACACTGTAGCTGCGTTTCCATTGCAAATGTGCAAAACTTTGTCAATATTCTGTAAATGTCGAAAAAACACAGTTTGGCAATTGCAATGTTTCCATGAAGTAAGAAATACTATTAAAGTCACGCGTGAATACCTTTGTTCTCGCAATAAGTCTTTACAAACATGGCGGTAATGGATGTAAACACATGCATATTGCTACCACGACACTAGCGCTCATCATCAGCCATCATAGGAGATGTCGGCGTCTTATCGAGGCTTTCGAGCGACAAGCCTCTTATACTTGGGAGTATGCTGTGTTTTGAGGAAATTGTAGTTGGTGATTTTACTTTCTTTTACTACTTTGGTGATTTTACTACTAATTCTACTTCCTCTTGTCTTCTTTTTCTTCATCTTTTTGCCAGTAGAAACATCCGGTTGTTGATCGCGTGACTCCGTGATGTGAAAAAAGTGTTTCCGTTGCAGTTTTGCAAAATACACCAATCTCGATACGGCCGAAAAACCACCTCATCCAAGTGCAAAATCATTTTGTCGAAAAACATCTTTTTTTTTTTTAAATTGACGTGTTGCTATGGGCAGGGCTGGACTGGGACCAAAAAACGGCCCGGGCATTTTTTGGTCATGGCGGCCCACCATCATTATTTATACAATATACGAATAGACACGACATACCAGAGGACCGGGGCAATTCTAGCATCTGACATTTAGGGGTGCTTAGCCCCCAAAAGGGCTAAGACCCAAGGAAGGATATTTGTAGATGCAGTTTTCTATATCTCATTGTTTATTTACATATATTCACATATGAAGAAGTGTGGAATCACTAAAATTAGAAATATTTTGTCCAAAAATGATGCCGAAAAACTGATTCATGCGTTTATCAGGTCTAGACTGGATTACTGTAATTCTTTATT